ATGAGAGGGTGTGAGGGTGGAGGGGATAGGGTGGAGGGGGGGGGGGGGGGGGAGAGAAGGCAAGGTTGAAGGGAGGGCATTAACCCTGAAGCTCGGGGGTTGCGAAGCGAGTCAGGCATGGACCTGTGTGGCCTTGTGGATCTGGTGTCATGTCTCAGAGGTTTCTTGAGGGAACAGAGGAGAGGCTTCCATGACTTGCTGGGACAAAACCCCACCTCTCTGTTCATATTGTTGGGATGGAGTTCAATCTCACTCAGTGGCCTCCCTAATGATGCGATCCATATATCAGGTCTTGGTGGTGAGGATGGAGGTATTCTGAACCTCAATGCAGTGTCCCAAATCGATGCTCTGTTCAGCCACAGTTGACTTGTCTGGATGTTTGAGACGGATGTGCCGCTGATGCTCCTTCAATTTCGTGTCCACAAAATGGCCCATCTGCCCAATACAGACCTTGCCGCACTCACAGGGGATTCTGTATCCACCTGGTGTCCTTAGTCGCAGGATATCTTTGACCAGCTGGAGGTAACTAGATAATTTCTTAGGTGGCAGGTCCACTGATTAGATGTTGTGCTGGGACAGAACTCTTCTGATTCGGTTGAACATAGCTCCGACATAGGGCAGGAAGGCTTTAAAAAACACTACACACAAATGCACAAAATCATTTTTTTTTATTTGTTTCATTCTGGTCCATCACACTAACAATTACAAATATAAATCACTCCGTCCAATGTGACAGTGAAAACAGCACAGCAGCCACGAGCTAACCCTGGAAGATATAAAGAACCTCCACATCAAGATAGACAGGTGGCACAATATCTGCGCCATACAAGAGGGACAATGGGAGGACGAACACGAGCCTACATGGTTTACGAATTTTAATTACTGACAATGCAAATTTTAATTAGCATCAAGAAATTTTAAATACTTTACATTCCCAGGAAACTGCTGTATTTGTGAAATGTTCTATTTTGTGTAGCATATAAGTGTAAGTACTTTACGTCTAAACAACTTATGTGATGGTGGTTTCCTATTTGTAGTGATGTTTGCCCTCTGAAGGTGGTCCACAGAGACCGAAACATGTAAGGGTGTTGAGTTTTCATGTAGTAATAAACTTACAGGTCACATTGGACGGAGTGATTTATATCTGCACAAAATCAACTCTTAATACATAACTCTAATCCAAAATAGAATGTTACAGACCAGCACAAGGCAAAGACTTCATAGGCTAGACATGGCTCTCAAGGTTACATTGCTATGCCTACTTTAAAAGGTTAGCTGTATATGTAACACAGATGTGTCACGATTTTCATGCCTAATTGGAAACAAAGCAATTCCAGGGATAATTGATGATGCCTATCCTTCGAATTAGTAATCTCAGCAGGGATTATTATTTAATAGGCCACTCATTTCTGTGAACAACTTCCATCAGCACAGTGTGTTAAAATTATGAGACATAACTTCAAACTCCTACATCACTGTCACATTTAAATTTGTTAACAAATTAAAAATGCTTGAATAAATTTGACATTTGTGCCATAACTGCATACATATTTTCACACAGCCAGCTCCAACAGTCCTTTAGTTACCACTATCAAACAAAAAGCTAATATACTGCCATCATCCATGGACTTAATGCAAATCACTTAACTGCACAATCAAAAAGTCAGATCCTATCTAGGCAGGATGTGGAGATCCAGACTGCTAGCAGAATCAACAGGCCTGCAGCTGAACACATTACAAACAAAACCAAATTACAGCAGACATTGGAAATGCTCTCTATTGCTGTCACGTGAATGTTCAAGCCTAGTTCATNACTTCAGGCATGTGGCATGTGGCATGCAAGTATAAAAGAGGCCTTACTGTAGGGGACTGAAACATTGAGTAGTCAAAGAAAAGACAGTGCATGAAATCAATGCTAGGCTTGAGCATTCTCCCCAAAAATTCCTGACATGCCTAGCACTAGAGACAGGGCTTTCAAGCTTCAAGTCTTCTCTATTTCCATAAAATAACTTCCAACACATGGATATTAACGTTTTATTGAGGTATCAGGAAAGTGTGCATGGCAGAGAGCATTTCTGGCATCTGCTGTAATTTTGGTACAATTACTGCTAGCATGCAAGGCTACAGGTGATAAAACAGTATCAATAGCAGACTAGGTGGGAGGACATTAACATAAGTTGGACAACTTTTCAGATATATCAGCCCACAGAATTCCAGGACCCTACACCGAGGCATCAGTATGACTCCCCACTCAGCAATTTCCACAGCCACCATGATGGTGTAAGGACATGTGGTAGCATAGCTGGTTGAGGCACTATGCTACAAGCCACTAAGTCTCAGGTTTGACTCCCAATGAGGTCAGTGAATTTTTTAATTGCCCTAACCCTTCCAGTGCACTATGGCCTGGGGTTGAATCAGCCTTTAAACAGAAATAAGAACCAGGAAACTTCCTGGGGGTAAAAGTTGGCAGAACATAAGGCTGACCTCACTGCCATCTGAGCTGGTTTTTAGAAAATGTGGGAGCCTGGGTGTTCCACAACCCTATGGGTCTCCTCAGCCTGTTACAGGGACAGCTATGGTGTTACTGATAGTAGGGAACTGAGATGTACAGACTGAAGGTGATTCTACTGGCATGAAGTTCATAAAAGTTTCATGCAAACAGGTCACTTGGTTCAGAGTTATTGAGGTGAGACAGACACACATGAACATGATCCACCAAGGTAAAAATGCTCTGTAGTCTTTATGAAATGGGGGGGAAGACTTTCCTAACTGTGTAATTCAGTACCTCACAAGAAACAGCCATATCCATATCACTTTGATACCCCATATGAGCATTTCTGAATAGTAAAGCCAGAAGGTCGCGGGTTCAAGTCCCGATGAGGTAATTGGATTTTTTCAGTTGACCTAATCCTTCCAGCCACACTAGGCCCTGAGGTTTACTCAGCCTCTAACAGAAATGAGTACCAGGAATTAAATAATTTTCCTGCGGAGTAAAGCGCGGCTGGCGCATAAGGCTGACAACCTTACCGCCATCTTTGAGCCGATTGTCTAGATGATGTGGGACCCTCAACGTCTCACAACCCTATGGGCCTTCACGGCTTGGTACCGGGATAGCTTTACTTTCTTTTCTAAAGAAATTTCTTCAAGTCAAGACCATAAAAGTTAATCAAGGCAAGCCATTGTGTTCACAGAGCACCTACAGGCTCATTGGGTCTCATGCCACTTATAGGCCTGTTATGGTGCCATGCATTATAAAGTATCTGTTTCTGTGCTTATTGGTGACTGACTTGGAACTGTTTCATCGCAACTGTTACCCAGAACTGAAGACGCAACTACTGTTAGTTAGCCCAGGAGGACTACTTGGATGTCTGCTACTCCAACAGCCGAGGCATCCCACGAGGAGTATATAATCAGATACAGTAAAGGAACATAATGAGGCCTGCATACATATGTGTACATATATTAATTAAATGCTACGCCAAATAAACATGATAACTGAGAGCAAGCAATTAGGGTAACAAACAGTGGTGGAACTGCATTAGCAGATGTTCCCAATTTCTGTGGAATCATAACACCAAACATTCTGGGTCATCCTTACCAAGAAGAACATTCTATCACCCCTTTTGCGTTGTCCATTAAGTATTAAAAAGCATTACACCATAATTTACTTTCTAGCACCCCATGGGACACATAATATCTGCAATTTGTTACTGACTGGATTTCAAAAATAAATAAAACAATGCTGACATGCTCTGTCCAACCTGTTCACAAAGGAGCACAATATGTGCAGCATATGTTGATTTCCCTCTTATCAAGAACCATACCCCAAACCTTACCACCATTTGCCGTGCTCTCATTACGCTCACTTCATTCACCATGTGGTAGTAATTATGTCCATTAAATATTTTATCAATAAGGAATATCTAAAATGGCAAGGAACATAACTTGATAGAAATGTATAAAATTAGACCAATTCCTACATGTGTGAACATTAACAGGATAAAGCTTTGAAAGAGAGTGATAGACTCTAATGGGGAAGATGGTGGTGATTATAGGGTGTAAGTCAGAATGATTGTACTTATCGTCTGAGGGAGGGAAGAAACAAAATATGCCAACAGAGTACTGCCTCATCCCACAGAGGATGATCCGTGTAATGACAACAGAACTGCTTCCATTAATGTGCATTTATTTACACTAAATATGTATTCATTAATGGATGAAAAGTGAAACTTTAGCAGAACATAACATAATACACAATTGATAATAGCAAGGGTTCCATTTACAGTGAAACATAAATGTGAGTGGTAGTGGTCCAATGTAACTTGTCACATTCCTGCAACAAGAGCAGCTTCAAGCTTTATACACTATCTATATGTACTCAGTGAAATGACACATCCAGTGAAGTTAACGTTACTGTTTAACATAAATAGGAATGAAGAATTAAGTCCCTATTAACAAATTTTAGAGGGACTAGATGCAACTTTAAAATTGTCATCTCATAAATTACAATGAAGAGACAGACACTAGTACAGAAGTCAATCTCTGTGAAAACTGTGGAGCAATTATAATAATTATCCTTCCTGAAGCTAAAAGCACTCATTGAAACTTTAAATTCAGTAACAGTCTCTTGTTCAGCTGTGTAAAATAATTTCACTACTGTGACACAATCCATAATGTCATACAAGAGGACATCTTACATTATAAACTTGCATCTTACATTATAAACTTGTCTCTTCAACCTTAATACAAGCAACAATAAGAGTACTCTATACATTTTCTGCAAATGCTGGAAGTTATGGTAAAACCTACAGAAAGAATATGTATTTTGATACAATATATAATTTAATGGTCATTTAAAAAACTCCACTTCCTCTATCATTTATCAAATCATGTCTTAAAAACATTTATTTAAAATTCCAGTTTTTTACCGTAAGCATTATTTTTTAAAAAATGTACAAGTAAAAAATATACATTTTAAAATGGTATATTACAATGAAAGTTGGAATCAAGATATATATACGTAATGGAGTTTTTCAGCAAACCTTAAATTAAATAGGAAGTTCAATGCTGCTAAAATTAGCCTACCCACCAACACAGCTCACTCAACTTCTGCACTGTTTGTGTCACAAGGTCTTGACAGTACTTCTTTATTTTCACTCTCAATGGCTGAACCTGTCTCTCTGCCCATACTATCAACACTTGAATTGCTTGCAGAGCTGCAGGTACTATCACTCTCTGAATCAACAGATGATGACACTGATGGTACCATATCTCCTTTATTGTATGATCGGCGCATGATATCATTCTCAAGACGCAATCTTTCATTCTCCTTCAAAAGCTTATTGATTTCTTGTTGAAACAACTGCATTTTGCGAGAGGTTTCTTCATCCACTTGCATTTCACCTTTCTCAATATCTGTATCATCATTTACTTGTCCTCTTATTTCTAGACTCTGAGATTTTTTCAGCCTTTTCTCTAATGTGTCAACCTTTTCTTCCAGTTGTATATATTCCTCAATAAGTTGTGATTTTGACATTTGACCCAACCTTTCTGCGTGTAAATCTTCATATGCATTTGAGAATTCTTTAGTTAAGAATTCCTCCTCATCCTCTGGGGACGAATAGAAATGATCATCATCTGAATCAACACTAAGGCTTGAATCACGGACTCGGGATGGTCTTTGAAACACTGAAGTATTTGTTCTAAATCTACCTGAATTTGTTGTCACTGCTTTCAGCTGAACATCCAAGTCTTGCAAATCATTATGATCCTCCATCAAAAATTGTGTGGTGTTGTAAGGAGCAACGGGCTGTCCATGTGCAAACATTTGTGCTCTGACTTTATTAGCTAGTTTCGTTTGGTTGTCCTCCTGCTCATTACGCTCCTGCCACGTCAATTTACTATACGGCTTGAGTTTGCGGCGTTTCGATTTTCCACGACGCGTTTTCCTCCTTTTAGGATATCCCGTATCATCTAGATACGGAACATTACTCGCGCCCTTCTTTTCATTTGTATTATCTTCTTCGCCGCCAGATGGCTGCTGCTTGATACATGTTTGTGCAAGACATTTTACGTCATCTCCTTGGCCAGTATCAACGGATTTATTATTACTATCAATAGGCATTATATGATCCGACATGTTGACAATTTTACTTATTATACACGTTCTGACACTTTTTCTGCATCATCACATATTGTAACAATCGACAAGAACTTACACCACAAACATCACAATTGTATTAACTTCTTCCTACTGATGTCCCACCGCCATTTTCTGGCGTTTGTACAAACAGAACTGCAAACAACGCCAACTACGATTCCAACGGCAGCACTATACTACTTAATGCCCCGAAACTTGGCCTCTTATTGTGAGAAGCTGATCCATATATGTAACTTGATGGCTTCACCGTTTCGCCACTAGAGTGTGCCGCATGTGAATTCCATGACCAACTGTAAGGTATAACGGGTACAACTACAGTCAGCCAACTGTGCCTACGATTGTCGTATGTATCGTATGGCTGTTGATGAGCATGTATACTACTACCTTCATAAGATGTAGAAATTTGTGATGCCCGTGATGATGGTATATTGAAACAGTCAATGTGTTTTTGGATATTATTCGTTTTGTTTCTTATTTAAAACATTAGCTTTATCGATTGGACCCAACTGAGTAGGTTTTTGCATGAAGACGTAGGCAATACAGCCTCCGAAAAGTTGTGCTCGAAATGAAAAACAATAGGACCATGAATAATTCCCAAAAACATAATTGTACCATCTTGACGTGTACTCAAGATTGTACCTTGCAGCTGACCGTTAAGACATATAAGAATTTGTCAAAATTTTATAGTGACGCGTTTTACATTGTCATCTTGTCAGCCGAAGTGCTTGTAGTGAATTTAGTGAATTTAAGGGACATTGTATAAGTTTTGGTTCACGCAGAGGTGGTTATGAAATGGAGAATTACAAGAAACCAAGTGACACAGATAACCACTGAACTGAATTAAGCATTATATTTCACTAGAGGAAGAGTGCAATTGGATATTCAACATAATCTCGTACCTCCAAAACATCTGCAACACCGCCCATATCCCCACAGTACAGCAACCAAGAATTGGATTAATCGATCAACAAATGTCCCTTGAAAGCTCAATAAGAAATATGTAGAGAAATATAACTGTCGTTGTTTTATCACCTTGTGGCCCACCAAGGGTTGTGATATTTTTAAATTCGCCTGTGTGCAAAATACAGCAGCTCATGGCCAGCTTAGCGTGTATAATTTCCCATAATTATATCTGTATCTAGATAAGTTCACTTTTACCTTCTTTAACAAGTACTTTGCCTGGACAGGCACTGATAAACATCACATTCACTTTCACATTATCTTTCTCCCTATCCATTGTTCCATTTCCTTCATCGTTTACATCCTACATTCTTTCTTCTGAGGGTGGAGGTTGTTCCTGTAGCCTGAAGAGGAATAGTATACCTGTGATGTCTTTATTATTTTTCACTAAAGAAATACCGCAGTAAAACTAATACTGTTTCTAATTAACTGTGGAAGAAAGCAACACAAGTCAAAATTCTAGGTCTACATTGTAAATAATCTTCTGTCCAATTGTATGAACACGAATTTCTCATTTTATCCAACAAGTAACTTAAAATTGTCAAATATCTACATGATTAAAAAATTAATGGAATGAAAGAACTTAATACTTAAACTAGTATCACAGCTGCCCCAGTGACACCAAAAAAATCACATCACTTGAGTGAACCATGTCACTATCATGCTCATACAGGTTACATAATCTTACTGTCATATCCAAGTCTTAAGTAGCAGGATGGACATGTAATGCTATATGTGATCTTTTTTGTCATGCTGTTTGTGCTGCATCTTGTGGCATGGTAGCCACTTCCCAAGTGTTTATGAAGAGGTGTGACTTACAGATGTATGAATTATTTCTGCAATTTTATGGAAGACAGAAAAGAAAAGGAGTTTTGCTGTTGCTGCTCCTAATTAGGAAGATGGCAATAGAAATATCATATCTTTCAATGAAATGTTAACTTTTTTGGTTTACAGTGCTTGGTGGTGTAATAATTTATTTTGAGATGGTTAATAGGTGTTGTGGTAAGTTATGCAGTTATGATTCGTCAGCTGTTGCTTTTATTATATGTGGTTATGAGAATCTGTATTGATGTACAATTTGACTACAGTAATGAAGTTTGGATTCTAATATGTGCTGTCTTTTGATAACCAAACCAGTGTCTGTGGCAGGTTTCATATAACGTCAGAAACAGATTCACACATGCTTTGTTTGGTCCTTCACATTGTAGATGCAAGTGTAGTCAACATACTATTTGGATCTTATGGCAGAATGTTAAACATACGATATTATCTGCAAGCCGCTGAAAATCTTTCTCCTGCTCCAGTGGAAAAGGCACAGGTTCCTCACAACTCCAACTGTGCATTTGAATTAGTAGCACAGTTGACAGACCCACAGGCAAATTATGAACAAACCACGCCCACATCACAGCAGATCCCAGAAATGATCCAGTCCTTCATGTGCATTCCTGTAGCCTCCATAACAATTTCACATTCACGTGCTCAAGTTAATTTTTGGAAGCAGAGCAAACTTGAAAATTTAAACACCTGGTCTCTTGTGCAAGGCGCCTAAGAGATTTTCAAGGAGAATTCTCAAACCAAGACTTATTTCATTCAGTTTATTTTCAGCAAAAATGCGACATTTTGATTCAGTCTCTTTCTACGATGATAACCCCATCTTAATTTTGTCACATTTGTGCGAATAATTTCTCTAGCTGGAATTACATCCTGAAATTTGTCAAAATATTCTTCATGCTCCACGTGAGTACTGTACATGAACATTTGTTTCAGTAGTGTAAATGAAACATGGTATTTCAAAACAAGCAATAACATAACTGATTGTTCAACACAGTAGCAGGAGCTTGGAATTAAGGTGGCTTGTACATAATGTATAAGCTTGATTCATGGTAGCTGCTCAAAAATGTATTCGGGCAAGCAACACTTCAGTGAAATTATGTACAAGTATGTATGTAACAGTCATGGGTGCAGCCAGGATTCTTGCCAGGCATGAGTGGGATCTGCTTGCCACCTGCTTACTCTCTGACCATGCAGATGGAAGAAATATGGTGTAACATCCCAGAAGACAGCACTCTTCATAGTCACTGTTATGAGACTCTTAAATCCAATAATATGTGGATTTCTTCAAAATCCTGATGAGCATTACCCACACCTCCAACATACACCCAAAGTGTACATTTCCACTAAGATCCTCAGATATGTCTTCTGTGTAAATCAAGGGAACACTGGTGAAATGTCTTTAAGGGCTACATAAAGCTAAGGCAATTTGGTAAGCATGAGGGTACATCTATGCACATCAGTACTGCATGACATCCCAGGCCAGGTTGCCATGTGTGTGTAAAAGGTAAAGTCCCTGTGCTTAACTAATTAAGCACTATACCATGGTGTATGGGGGAGTGCATGCATAGATCAATATTTTCTTGACCTAGGCACTAGTTGGAGGTGAACAGTCACCTTCACGCCTTGGTACCCATTGGATAAGGAGCTGGGTGGGCTCCGGAGCCAGTCTGGACAACATGAAGAATAGAAAATTCTTGATCATAACGGGACTCGAACTTGAACCCTTGGTCGTCCAGCCCATAGCCAGTCACTATACCGACTATGCTAGTACAATGGTTAAAACTTGACAGTAACATTATAGTCATTCCTGCACAAAGCTCAGAAACATTACCACCATTCCTAACTCAGCACGGCAGAGAATGACACTTTGTGATTATGTTACCTCTGCAGTCAGACTACTGCATGTCAGTTTGTCAATATGTTGTCAGACTTAGCAGTGACAGTCACATCACGGTGATGATATGAACAAGGATGGAAATAACAGTTTACTTCGTTATAACAGAAGGATCTGATAGCCTGACTTTCATTCACAGGATTGGGTGTTCAACCACTGGTCAGATCAGTATGCAGACTTCTTTCTCACAGATGAAACTTTCACCTGTACCAAAGATATAAACTTTGTGAGCATCAAAAATACCAGCCCCACCCCTGAAGGGGTTTGAGTGTACATTAAATTGCTGATCATTGCTCTCAGGATCACCGTCACTGAGGGTAACAGAATCTTCCATGTAACTGTCCCCACCTAAGAAATGGATCCTACGCCCTTGCGGAAATAGGCAGAGGCCAGTAAAATCAACACAGCCTATACTGGAGGCACACAACTTTGTTGTATTGGCTATTCATTACATGTCAGTGTCTGTTCCTAGTTCACATTAAATGAGAAAGTCTTTGATTCATTAAAAACAAAGAGAATTTTATCAGAAGAGCTGCCCACAGATGTACAGTGAAATTTACTTGATAATGAGAGTTATGTTTTCACCTAGTTCATGCTGCTTTCCAGTTCTGAACAACTGAAACTGAACAATACATGCATTTGAATACTAATTACATGTTGCTGTTTTGGGTTTCTGCAATTAGATGCTCAAGAAAATAGTAATACCAGTACTTCTGAAAACAAGACAAGCTTGTTTATCCAGAAATAAAAGGGGCCAGTAGCCACTAATAAATTGCTGCTTAATAGAATAACTGATTTTATAAGTGAAACTCCCCATTTCCTATGCTGCTCTTCAAATACGTGTACTGTCCATTTACAAGTAGAGGAATGACTATCATCTGTCCCTGTATTTAATTCATGTTTTTAAATCAGATATGAATGTTGGAAAAAATGTGACATTTTCAATCAGCTCTGATATTTAAATTGCAGAAAGTTTATCTGTTATGCCAAGTGCATCATGGACTCTGCTGACAGTTCCCACCGGGTAGCTGTGCACAAAACACAGAGTATTTGAAATGTCTCACTGACATCATCAAATTGCTGAGAAAACAAACATTATATCAATAACGGTAATAAAATGAATATATAATACTTCAAACCACATTCTAGCAACCTTCACATTTGAGAGGACAGGGGAGGTCTTGGCTCTGAAAGAACCCAGCAGTGACCAACCCTCTTCATCCCTTTCGGTGTGTTCAAACTGAGTGCTGTGTGTGGTTTGCAGTAAGGCAGAGTTAGTGGGTTAGTTTTCAATATCACCTGCTTTATTAAACTACCAAAAATTACATCAGAAAAGAATATTGATAAGTAGTTAGTACAAGAGCCATGTTTTCAGGCAGAACTGTAGATCAAACAGGTTGATTATCACACAGGAATTGTTCCAAAGATAAAAGCAATGAGCAGAGATAAATAAGAAAAGAAGAAACACATACGTTAGTACGGAAGGATTAAATGGATGACAGGAATGCAGTATGAAAACTCTGTTTGCAAGAAGAATTAACACCAATATTTATCAAATAAACACAGTTCACATTTTTTATAATTATTTTATAAAACATAAAAAGTTTTGATATCCAACAAATATAACTAGGAAAAACTCCCCTGGTACAAATAAGCAATGCCAGGCTTCAGGAAGTGGCTGGGGTGGGGCATTCAAACCATGAGCAAGAGGGCAGGTAACAACAGGAATCCCAAGCGGCGAGCAAGCTTTGCCTCCAAGCCACTTCCCGCCGCCCAGGATAGTACGTCATACAAAAATTAGAAAAATGTACAAAAATTCATAAAAATAGTAGGTAGTGGTTGAAATGCACACAAAGTACCCCATATTACTATTAGAATACTAACTACTGCTTTCCTAACTTGAGTGAACTAGAACAATGGGTGATCCTTTTATGCAGAAGAATATGGACTCTACAGCCAAGACAGCAAGGGTACGAAAACTTAAAGAGTCAAACCCTGCTTAACCAGAAAATTTACACTAGAGTAAGGGGTACATTCCATCCCCTTGCCATACTGTCCTTATGTCGGGGGCAGTCATTCGATGCGGCATTTCCCTTTGGCTTGTTGGGCTGCAGTAAGGAATCGACTTGCATTCACAGCACTACATGCATTATATAATATTGTATCAAGATGGTAACCAGTCACCAGTTAAAATCATTAAAGCATATTCATATTGCATAAGGCCCTTTCTCTCTCTCACACAAAAACACATATCAGGGACCCAGTCAACAATATTGCACTAGGTAGCATGACTAAGTAGAAAGTAACCAACAACTGCTTGCATTACATTACACCTGGAGCCCCACCATTCACACCAAACATCAATATCATCACTGTTTCTGCAGCTATGAATCCAAATTGCCAACAAGTCTAGGGGACAGATAGTGCCCATGGCATCAGGACTAAGTCAGTTGTCAATGGGAGTTGAATAGTACAAAAATCACTGCAGAACTGAAACACTGCAAACCATACAAAAATTTCCCACATATACCCAAAGAAGGGACCAGTACACAATAATACTGCACATTACTTGTTACCAGTATTAATAACTGTAATGAGAAACTTAAAAAGTCTTTATATGCGCTTCAGATTACTGGACATCTGGCTTCACTGTTTGAGATTGAGAATTATTGTGTGAAAGTAACTATTTTTCATTTGAAATATATAAAAAATAAAAATATATAACAATCTAAAATGAAGCACCATATAGTTTTTGGATGAATATAACCACCACATTGGCTAATAATTAAGAAAACATGTACAGGACACAGATGGACATTAATTTACATGAGTGGGTACTCTTCCATGCCCCTTTCCTGATCAGCATTACTCAAATTGAATTTTGCAGCTGCTCATAACAATTTTTTTGTTAGTTTTTGCTGGGATACGAAAATAGATATTCACATTTACAATCCAGAATTATTACAAAATGCTATTGGAATGGTGTACACAAGATATGCAAACCTCTTTGATAGAACCACAGGAAGATGGGACAAGCAGCAAAATTATATACCAATTTCAAAGTAGCCAAATCATGTACTCCAAGAATGTTGTCATATTGATTCAAACTGAATGTTTTCAACTGTCCACGCTTTTCCCTCTCCCACTTTCCTGTGACTGCATTCAGCACCAGTTCTTATTAACATCCCATTTCCACAGTAGCACTTTATAAGGCCAAAGAAAGATTTAGCATTTATAAAATAATTAAAGCATTACCATTTTATTACCTAGTTTACATGCGAGCGATTTTGTCCTGTGCACCTTTCACATGTACTACAGGTCAATGTTGCTGCCTGAGTGCTGAGGACCAGACAGAAGAGTATAGTGGATTGTTTTATCGTATGATACAGGAGTAGTTTCATATGCAAACATTAATACAGCACAAACTGATAACAGGATAACAAGTGAATCACTACAGACATTTTACTTGAATCAATGCTTCCTGAACTGAAAGTTAAAAGCCTCTTTGTAAAATTAAAATGTTAATTTAATATGAATATTAAACTTTCAGACTTGGAAATATACTGTCAGTTTCCATTTCTACACACTAAAACTTCTTTACCTCTGAGGATGCCCACATGAATGCCTGTAATGTTTAATTTCATGGCATCTCACGGCATGCAGAAATCTGTTCTTTTGGTGTTTGTGCTGCTGAGGCAAAACTATGAAAGTTATCGACTGATTACATTAGAATACATGGAATCATCACACTGGAATATTTTATACAATTTCACGAAGTCTTATTAAAAAAGTTAAATATAGTGCTAAGTGTTAAATAAGTTACCCAAGGCTACAAAATAATCACGTGTAGATTTTGTATTAAATACAACTATCACATAACATCAACTTCATTTTTTATATTTAAATCGTGGTATTCTATTTGTAGAAAAGATACAGTATATTAGGCCAGCCTATCATCTGACCATTTCCCTCCTTTAGAAGGTGGGTGACTGAACTCAACATTCCATAGAGGTCTCCAGCCTACTCTATGCTGTGTCAAAGATAGTCCCTGATGAAGTAGGAGATGCTGATGTGTACTGCAAGTATCAAACTTGAAGTCAACCACTGTTTTCTTACTTCCCCACCCTCTGCCTCACGTTGCAATACAATTTGGAAAGCCCAGCAAGTTGCCGCTAAGCACCGAGGAGTTGCCAGCTGCTAAGCAGCAATCATTAGGTTGGTTGCAACTACAAATTAACTCTTAGGATCACATCTTGCCATGCATATCATGAGGCTTAATGCACATCAAACACAGAACACTAAAACATAAAACTCATTAAAACAAAGTGCAACATAACTAGTTAAGGAAAGTACAAAACTGTTAAAATACCACAAAACATATTCAATCATTAGAATTGAATAAATATTTAAAAACGTTTAACTATTTAACATTTAAAATCAGTATGAAAAACGTCATATTGAAAAATCTAAAACTATAAGCAAGAGTTCTATTGCTTGCTGGAACTAACTTTGTTTAAAAAACTAAAACTCTGTACACCTTCCTAAACCCCCAACTGATGGCACCAAATGATAAAAATTAATTGCTTCTTCCCTGACACCTACAACAAATTTTACAACAGCTAATGGAGCTCCAAGAGACATAGTTAAGAAGTCTCTATGTGAATTCAGGGTGATCTCTTGGAATTCAAAGCATTATAAACAGTACAAAATGGGATAAAGTTACTATATTTGTTTTACAAACAATGTGATATAAAATGAATAATTATTTGTACCAAAATGGTAGTTGGTTATGTCAGTGACAGTTACCTATTTCCCCAAGGTAGGAACCAGAATGTTTCTACACCAAGACCGAAGCCCCACTACTATCCCAATGACTAGAGAACTACCCAGGAAAACCCTATGTGCACAAGTGCTACCAATCAAATTTATACAGAATCAAATGTCGGATTTCAAGTTGGAAACCTCATCTGGACAGGTGAAAAAAGGGCATTTTGAATGACAACTGTAAACCCAAGGCTGTGTTGAAACAGGTGCACCAAACCTTGGTACATGACTATAATAGATTATTAACAGCTTGCGATTTTCACCGTTTTGCACTATAATAGACAACAACTATAGAAAACATTGTAATTTATATTTATATTTTTTATGTATCTATGTAAAATTAAAAAATGAAAAATCTGTTTAGAAATCTGACTTGCCCTAGAAAAGTAGACCGGGCACTTCAGACCAAGTAGCATCTTTACATTCATGCTTCACATTTTCTTTGGTATGGGGAGATCACGAGCGAAGTGAGAATGTCTACCAGGTGCTACCATCCGCTCAAATCCATTTGGACTGTGCATGCACAGCACAATCACGATACCATCCAGAGTGGGTGGGAGCTACAAGGTTTGACCTTGGATGGCTGGCCAGCCAGTCTTCTGTGGAGGCTTTGCCCTAACACTGGCCAGCCCCAGCCTTGTCTCATCCACCTGGTCAAGGAACCGCAAATTTTAAACAGGGAAGAAAAGTAGAAAACTAAAGGGTCAAATCTATACCTGCCGGGCCTCTCTGAGTTTCTCTTCACAAATGTTTACATCATGCCCTTAACTAAGATAACAACAGCTGTATAAAAAACTTTAACACTCAAAAATACAAATCTATTGAAAAAGACTACAGTCGTGCAAAGTATCTACACTTCTTATCACACAGATTACAAGAAGGCGGGCGTTATGTGGAACATGCCCTTAACACCTAACACCTCCTGCATAAAACAAGCACGCACAGATTGAATGACACAATAAAATGGAGGGCAAAGTAAAATATTGGGAAAGTCCTGCCCTCCCTCCTTGCTTCACCACTTTAGCAGGAGGGCGAGGGCATGTACTTGACATTTAGCTCGGCTGAGTCAACAGACATGTTGTGACTGACATGGCTAACATGGCCAGCTGAGGTAAGACATCATGCACACTGGAAACACTAAGGTTCTGGTCAAGTGAATAAAATGCTGACCCCATGCCTGACACAAGTCATGACATCTATCTAGATCATCACGTATAAATGACATATCACATCTGTCAGAAATAGCAAATCATGAGCAAACATACATGGGTGTACACTTCATATCTACGCCAGAATAAAAAGTGTTACTGATGATACAAAGTAGGTCCTCAAGTGCACTATACCAGTCTTTGTAAAGAAGGTACAAGTGGCATGAGTAAACCTACGATACATTATGTTAAGTTACAATATGCACACGGTACACTGTCTACGTTAGATTGTGAAGGAACAGCCTGAGTGACAGCTATGGGATGACATCTAAAATATGGACTATTTTATATTCTCACGATAAAAATGAGCCAAGAGACAAATGGCTACATAGTGCTCAGTACGGATTGAATTCTGTCAGAAAGGTCAAAATACATCATTTTACTGCAAGGCAGATTCTGTTTTTTTTAATTAAGCGTCACCGTCACTTGATCGATAGAAAAATTTTAAAATATGGGTGGGTAATGAGTCAGCATTCTCAAAGGATGACAAAAAAGCTGAGACAAACATACAGATTGATTCATGACATATGTACTTTTTATAAAATGCATGTGCACAACAAAGCTACAAAAGTCAAGTTTTTTCCTTTGTTTAGATTCTCTGCCAATCCTTTTCATTAAGAGAGTACAAACATTGTAATCAACGTGTAAGTTAGTTAGGAAATGTATCAAAACTGTGTTGAAGGCTGCAGCCTAGCAACAAACTCACCATTAGTGGTGATGGCAGATATCTGTCAGTGGCAAAAATTCATTATGTACAAAAATGAGACCCAAAAAATAAATATGGAAGATACGCTTCTCATTATGAAACAAATTAATGTACTGAATAACTATCGGTATTTTTTTACAACGACTATTTACACCGAGAAGGTACGAAAATTACAAGGTCAAGGGAAAGTACGGAGGACACTGGGGAAATCGGCAAGCTAGTTCATTACATGCCTTATTATGAGCTCTGTACGCTTGCTACAAAAGTAGATTGAACTATGAATGCATATTTACAAATACCCTGAAAATTCACAAAAATTCTCATAAAGTATTGGCAGAGATGCTAAGAAATCACACTGTTACACCTGCTACGTATCTATGATACCATCATCGGTGGCCGCAACAGGGATTTTAGTTTGCCTCATGCGAACCAGTGAGTAATTAAAAAGAGTAAGTTATCTAACAGATAATCTGCTCAAATGCACTACATTTTGAAGGAGTCATTCTTTAAAAAAGATATTTTAAGAATGTGTGGTTACAGACCATATATGTATAGATATATATATATATATATTACTATATAATTGTATTCTATATATATATAAACAGCGATGAAAACAGCTGGCCTACAGTTGTTATGATGATGGTGGTTTTGAGGCGATGAAACGATGCACTTGCCATCAAATTTCCTAGTTGCCAAGTTAGTCGAACGCCCCGTGATGACTTACTGCTGCGTCAATGCAGTGAAGTGATGGATGTCAGTGCCTAACCACCCATCTTCCCAGGCTGTCTGAATACTGTCTCCAGGGCTGTTCGATCGTTACTGAGCTAAAGCGCTCCAACGTTAACACCAGCGGAATGGCACAGCTCGTGGGCGATCTGCCCCTTCCTTCACCAGTGGCTTATGGAACTCTCGTCCAGGCCGGGAATGAATGGTAGCCCAGCAGTGTTCACAATAGTACTGTAAGTATCAATAAATGTACAGTTATTAAATACACAAATATTACACCACTTTCTCCATCCACTGATCCAGATATAAGGGATCATATTTGCAAATGTTTTCACAATAATGCTTGCTAAGTACAGTGCAGTCAAAAAAACAGAACTCTTATTGCTATACATATTATCTTGACCAATTTATGTTTCCATCAGGTAGGGACCTTTCTTAAGAAAGCATTTTCTATTACACAACGTAACGTAAGTTAGACAGGGAGAACCATACTAACCTGAAGGCATGTCACATTTGCACAGAAAAAGGGAGCAAATTTGCCGCCACAGCGTTGACCCTGGCACTCATCACACATCTGATCATCCAGCACATATGGCTTAACCTCCACCTTTTGATACATGAACAAAAGTTTACATTAATAGTTTATAATAAGCTATATCAATGTTGCTGTGTTGGGATAAGACATTTTGTTTCATGGCAAAAACAATTTCACACACAGTCAGAAATATTATATAACAAAAAAAAAAAGGATCCAATAAAATCTGCACACTTCCCCAGAAACACTGCTCTATATATGTTCAATATGCAATGTAAAACAAGGAACAATTCTTCTCTGGTTCTGGTGTGAAATTCATAGTGCACCTCCTGCAACTAACACCCCCACAGCTACATTACTGACATGAAGTCTCTGCTGCTGAACTGATGTATTATTTTTATATCTTCTTTGGTGATGAATGGCAATAAATTACATGCATTCCTTGTTGAATGAAAGACTGCAGATGATGACAATGCTGCCATCTGCTAATGATAAGATTAAATATCAGTACAATCTAAGCATGCACTTTGTAAGAGCTTGGAGACACAGTATGGCTGCCTGGACAGAGCAGCTCATGTCTCAAAGAGAGTATCAGTTGTCAAGGGGTTAAATTTGCAATAGAGGATCTGCATGTGCAGATCAAGGTGAGTCACATGAAAAAATAAAAAATGCATCTAAAAATATGTGTATTCCATCAGAGTACACACTTCATAGAAACAAACAGGCTGAGCCTAAGTAGCATTTGGCTTACATTATTGACATTCTTTATTTATATGTTAACACAAAGACTGCCTTTCTGAGTACATTCATCTCAGTGTGCAACTGATGGGTATATTTTCAATCCTACACTGAAGAAATTATTCAAGAACTTTTCCTCACATTACATCAAGAACAAATTGATTCTGATTCAGGATTATTCAAGCACTGAAATGCACAGTTCGTAAGCCCATTTCCTTTGCAATAATATGACTTCAGTTGCTAGTTAGTGAAAACTGCTGCCAGCAGGGCAAGGACTGAAGCAGAAATGGCATGAACCAGGCAGGCAGGCAGGCAGGCAGGCACTGGGTTGGTTCTGGAAAGTGTTGCCAACTTTTGTTTTTGATGTTAATTTTGTTGTTGGGTTGCTGCACCATGTGGTTGTGGGTGATGTTACTGATGTTTTGGAGGTACATGCTGCCCCCATATTCAGGGTCAAAGTGTGTAGATTGGTGAGTGTTTCTGTATATATAGTATTTTGTGAATTTGATTGTGGTTTCTCCATGAACTTGAGCTATTCTGTCTCAGGCTTGATTTTATATTTTATTGGACCAAGGATGAATGATGTGTAATCATCATGGATTTGTAATATGTGACATGTTTTATATCCAGCCCTATGGGGAGACGACTGGATCCATGAAATGATAACTAAATGTAAATGTAAATGTAAACGTACAGTATGGGTTGGTGCTGTGTCTCAAACAGTGGACTGGTAGAGCTGTGTACATGGGTCTTTTAATGGCTTAGGGATGCATCAAAATCCCATTGGAAACTGATGTTCTCAAATGGTCACCTATCCTAGTGTTTACCATGCAAATTGCTGCTTAACTCATTAACTATATTTCAAGCAACATTTTGTCTGGTGAGCACCTGATGGGTAACAGCTCCAGAACACCAGTTGCTAATGGAATTTTGATGAATTCCTGGGCCCTTACATGAGCCATCTGCAAAACGTTCCCGGTTCACTGTTCTTACTGGCCCAGATAAGGCAACAATCCCCATTCTATTTCCCCCTTTCCCCATTCCTTTCCAAAATAAAATAATAAACATACAAAGAGACTCACCAACCTACATACTTCATCCCAGAAGATGGGGGCGGCATGTATCTCAAAAACGCTGGCAACATTGTCCACAACCACATGGTGGAACAACCCAACAACAGAATTAACATTAATAATCAAACAACATGAAAGCCTAAAATCAGTAACGTTTGAATTCACATCCTCCTCCCAAGTGAATCACCCTGTACCGTACAAAGAGCACTTCATTCAGCATTTTTCATTTACCAGCTGCTCTCAGTGTTTGTGCTGGAAGGTGCCAGTAACTTTCAGATCTGAAAACATCTGGTACAAAAGAAAGTGAAATCCTCTGCTTATTCTGTAGGAACTTACCCTTTTGTCGATATCACCATGCTGAAGCTGCACAAAACGAGCACTGATGGCTGCAATGTAGCTCTGCTGATTGCTGAATGCCACTCGACCAGCTCCTTTTGGGTACTTCAGCTCAGGGTCAGTGTCAATACCGGCATAGCACACACCACCATACAAACGGTCCATTATCATCGCCAACTCCACTGTGAGCAAGGTCATGCATGGCATTACTTGTTTTGGGCCAGATGATATATGCTAGCTTGTGTAAACCAATAAGTTTTTCCACCAGGCCAGTCACTTGGAGCTCATTTACCAAACCGGGAATGAACACCACCAACACTACACTCTTAGGCTCTTAGGCTACAAGGACTAACGAGGTGGCAGGCCTGTGGCATAACAGTCTCTGTGTCTGGAGGTGGAGCAGGGATGGGTCTGGCAGAACATGCAGCCCAGATATTTAAACACCAGGGTCCTAAACCTGATCCACAGACAGAGAGATGAATGACCAGTCAAAGTTGATAAGAGCCATTTTTGGTTGTCTGGCTCTTTACTGGCTGACAGTGATCTGGTTTGAATGAGCCAGGCTGTCTGAATACATCAGACTACGTGAGATGAGATGTGAGATTAAGATCAGGAATCAAGAGACAATAACCAGGAAGTTTGCTCACCATTCAAATGGGAATGAAATGGTTCTAAATTAGGGAAGCAAGTAAAATCATGAGAGAGGATCATCTCAATGTGACTTATGATGGATTTATGGAAGGTGAATAAATGAAATGAAATTTAAGGGGAAGATGATATGTAATCACATTAATACTGACAAGAAAGGAAAATATAATACAGTCAGGACTTGAGCAAGCAGCAAATTTTCATGAAGATATGCCATATATTTTCCAGACTATAAAACCAACCTAAATTTTAGAGAGCGAATTTTGGAGAAAAGAGTTTAACTGCATATGTTTTAAACTCAAATTGACAAGTACTTATTAAACAAAACAGCAATGCAGCATAAAGTTTTTACTGGCCATAGAACCCAAGAAAATCTTCATCATTAATGTTATCACTTGAGTCTACAGGGTTCTGAAGACTGGCATATAACACTCAGTATTACTTGGTTTCTGGACTTGGTCCATCATCCAGTATTCTAAAAACTATAGAACACAATGTTTCAGAAACTGGATCTGTTTCCGCCCTCAGGTGAAGGGGAAGACACCTGCCCTGTTGGGACCACTCATGTTATTCTCTTGAAAGACTTCACAGCTGTCGCATGGTTTCACAGACTCCCATGAATTCTTCACCCATTCACTAATCAGCGATATGGCTGGCCACTTCATATGTACTGTTGCTGTCGCCATCCATTTGGTCCACTCCTCATCCATGAATGCTTTAAATGGTTTACTGACCAAGATGTCCAATGGCTGCAATTGGCTAGTAAGGTCTCCTGGAATCACAGGTAACTATGTGTTTAACCCCTTAACTACCCTATCTGTCGCCTCTGTTACACATGCAATAAAAGTCACTGCGATGTTTGCCCAATTTCTCAGACACAGCTTCATTCCATTTTTGTCCATCTGACCAGAATGATCCTTGTGGAATTTTATATCTGTGCACCATTCTGTATTTGAATATTAGCAACAGAAGCACTTTTATGTCACCAGTACATGCTAAAATGGCAGCATAATGTGGTTTTCAGGTTCAGATGTTTCAATTGTGATTAATTTAGCAGAGTGAGTGTCCACAGTCCTGTTTGAGGGAACACTGAGAGTTAGAGGAACTTTGTCCATGTTGCCAGTCTACACAAGTTGCCCTGCAGCAATCACAAATTTCTGAAATTCTAAATTTTAATTTTGTACTGGGTTTTAATCCATTTTGGTACCCTAGTTCAAAGAATCATGCTAGGCCATGCCTCTTCATAAATCTATAAAAGTTCTTCCAGCAAAATCTTTGATGTTGTGTGTGACCGTCTGCCTCCTTGCTTTAAATAAAATTTTTGTAGAAATGAAAATTTCACTGTTTCTATGATCTGTTACCATTTTTTCACTTCTTCCAATTGAGGCAAAGCAGCAACATGCATGTGGAAAGGGTTTTGTTCCTGTCTGATTTTGGTAATCCTTCCTCTTGCTTCTTCAACTGAGGTACTATTTTCTCGGTGGGTGGAGGACCAAAATCTCTTTCAGCTGCCCTGTTCCATGCTCTCTGGCTTTATGAATCACATTTAATTTGAAACACAAAGTGTATGAAACCATTTTGTTTTGTATACATTTTGACAGGATAACAAATTTAACAAAGACTGCACTGTTTCTCAGTGATAATCATGCATCACATGATAATCACATTCATTCTTTCCAGCAAGCTGGGCACTTTTGAGAATGACCACTATACAAAACTTTTTTTTTTCAATTCCACCATCTGCTCCACAATCACCCTCACGTATCATCTGGGGCTGGTACAATAGGCCAGAAGTGGCCGCAGGACAAAGGACCTAGTCATCACACCCCACTAGAAAGAAAAAAAAAGAAAAAAAAAAAAACTAGTCTGCTTTAAAGGCTGTTCTGCTGTACCTTTGGGTCACAAGACAGAGGGGAACCTTATGTTGCATTTTATTGTCTGGAAAATATGGTATACTTGTCTAGGGCTTCGTTACACTGCACAAAAAAAAAGTGTGTTTGCTGACCAGTTCAGCTGTGCCTATGTTTATCTATATTTCCTTTGATGGCTGTGCAGATCAGAATCAATTAAGTAACACATGGATGAAAAAAGAGAATCATGTGATTTCTTGATTTATTTAACTCTAGCATGGTGTTTCTAATTGTGTCTCGGGAATCTCCAAACAGTCTGATTGCTACAAATGCAAGATGTTTTGGTCTACTTGTACTTCTGGGTGAGGTTCTGATTTGATGACTGTGGTGAATTACATCTCAACTTTTTATTTATTACTTGAGGACATATGTGTTCAATTTTCCAGGGTGTTTCATGTGTTCTGCTTGTAAGTTAGATCAGACAAGAAAATATTTGTTATTTCTGGCTCTTTGCTGAAGATCCTATTAGTAACCAACATTTCTCTGCAGAACAGCTGGCTTTGGCAACAGAAAAAGAAAATAAACATAGATGATTAATTTGTTTGTTTCTGGAACAAGAAGCATCTAATAATGGTATCTGACGCAAGAGTTCTGTGATGTGTGTTGAACATTTAGCTGTTCTGATTTCCAGTAAACATCTCTATGTGAAGATGAACACATTGAGGACCGGTCCCATGATATCATGCTTTTGGTTTTTAAACGTGGCAGACCGGTCGCATGATATCATGATTTTAGGACACATTAGGTTGTTAACACACTATCCCTTGCTCTGGCGCCACCAAAGTTGCACGCAGCTGCATAATAAAACTCTGGAATGTTTGCTTACTTGTCAGTAACTTGACCTCGCTATTTTCTTAACCCACTATAAACGAAAATGCTTTGCTGCTCTTCGAGCTGTATGTATCAGCCAGTAGTTAGTGGTGGGGTATGGACAAGGACAAATTCTTCTCCGATGAGCTAGCTGACCTACCTTGTGAGATGCATATTAATGGTGATTCAGAGAGCGGCAGTGACAGGGAAGAACAAAGAACTGTGGCCGCAAACAGTAAAAGTGACAGTAGCTCCGATGATAATGGGGTAGTAATGACATTGCGGGGACAGTAAAAAATCTAAAACAATCACAAAAATCTAAGCCCTGATTCGAAATTCAAATACAAAGCATTTCTGATGAATGTGGCAAAGACCTGGGCTACAGACCAGATGGTGGCGGCAGAACCAGAGTCACACACAAACTTAGTGCGACCGGGCCCATGAACTCCCACTCCACGCAGACCTTATGTGGACCCCCCAGGGCGACTCTCGGGTGATATGCGGGAACATACCCTCGTGAAAATTTCTCGGGTGATATGCGGAAACATACCTTCGTGAAAATTGTGAAGAGTGAACATTCCCAGGGGAAGCATCCTTCTAGGCAATGCTGCATTTGCACAGTTCACAAAAAAAAAAGGAGTATGTCTATATTTGCAAGTTCTGTGTAATGCCACTTCAGGAAGGGGAAAGTTTCCAGAAATATTACACCCTCAAGCAGTTCTAGGAGCATTGGTAAGTGTTCTCCAAATATTTTAGTTCATAAAATTAATTAGGAGATTTTATATTAATTTTTAAAGTGAACAGTGCACAAGTTAGGATAGTAGGCTTAATAATGGCGGCCCCAGGGTGATTTAAATATTAAATCACCTGTCCTTAATGTGTTAAGTAATTCTTGCACCACAAAGAAGTTCATTGTCCATATGTAGCATGTGTATTGTTGTGATTAATGATAAATTGATTTCAGGCTTGGCATTTAATGGAATTATCTATTGACTGTTTCCTTTCATCCTTAGTTTAATATTAGTAAATCATTACAAAGACTGGGGGTGTTTGAGAACAGGGTGCTGTGGAGAATATTTGGACCAAAGAGAGATGAAACGATCGGAGGTTGGAGAAAACTGCATAATGAGGAGCTTCATAACTTGTACTCTTTGCCAAGGATAATTAGAATGATCAAGTCAAGGAGGATGTGATGGGCAGGGCATGTTGCACGAACGTGGAGAAGGAATGCATATAGGATATTGGTGGAAAAGACAGAAGGAAAGAGACCCTTAGGAAGACAAAGACATAGATGGGTTGACAGCATCAAAATGGATCTTAGGGAGATAGAATGGGATGGTATGGACTGCATCAATCTGTCTCAGAAGGCTCTTGTGAACACAGTAGTGAACTTCTGGGTTCCATATAATGATGGGAAGTCCTTGAGTAACTGTACAATTGGCAGCTTCTCAAGAAGGGCGCGGCTCCATGAGTGAATGAAAACATTTAAAAGATCTACAGCCTTCCCTTATGACTGCCAGAAGAAATAATGAACCTGGCCATAACAATGGGAAGTCCTTTTGCCATACACTGAATTATTGTTCAAAGTATTATTCAACAAGATCTTGTTTCAGCTTCCACAATGTTTCTGAGATGGCATCCTTCAGCACTCTATGCTATCCATGTCACAGCTTGGAGTCTGAGGTTCAGAGCTCTGTTCATGATACAGCACAGGAAACAGAGATCAGTATCATTTTAGAACACTGCATTTACCCCCTGGATGAATGTATGCTCTTTCTCTCTCACATATGTAACCCCCCCTCTTGCACGCGCGTGCGCGCACACACACACACAGATATACATATTCTCTCTCTCTCACTCACAATCTTCTTGACAGCAAAGCATCACCTCCCTTATGACGATCAGTAATGTGGACTACTACTCTCTGCAGAGTACACCAAAGACAAAATTACAAACCCTAATTAACTGGAAACATCAAACAAATCAAAATCAAAACAGATTACAGTACACATGTCCAGTGGAAGCAAGGTTTGGGAAACCGATGAAGAGATGGCATCAAGCAGTAACAGATCACGTCGCATAACAGCCAACAGATTGGAGGAGGAGAGGGCGACAAGGACTTGAAATAACAAATATAAAACTAATTCAAACAATAAATTTTATGTTTCTACAATATTTCTTGCTGTTGTAATACTGCAGATTCACTTTAGAGTCCTCTGGATATCTTCCCCATGTTGATGTGACAGTAATTACTGATGCTTCAGAGGAACTTCCTGCCATTTTCTTGATGGCCAAAATCATGGAAGAAAGTTTCAAAAGACTTATGTATGAATACAGCAGAATGTCAGTGGTAACAATCTTTGATCCAAGAAGGCAAGGTATTCCTCTGAAATACTGCAATTTTTGCCTGTTCAATAGGATGTTTTGCCCAGAATACTCTATAATGTATATGGATAAACATGAAGATCCTCAGTTTCAAAAATTAAGAATGTTTCACTTCCCTTAGGATGTATTTGTTCTTTAAGTTTTGCCATTGTGACACTAACTGATGCAGTGCAGTTATTAAAATGGCAGTCACCAGAACACTTTGGTTCTCAAATAAAACTAACCTGCTTTGAGAGGGCGTGGTACTCCACCTACAAATACTGTCTTGCGTGGGTCCAGTGGCATGGAAGCATCCAGCACAAAGTCAGCATCTGAGAGTCGCCAAGGTCGGATCTGAACAGGTTTATCTTTTATTGTCGGTGAGGAGACACACAGGTACAGCTTGTCATCATCCTGTATGCAGGCATCAATCAGCTGCTGCACAGAGCTCTCATCCTGAAAGCCATAAGCAGAAGCAAACTCAACAGACTGTAACTGATCATTACCTACCGGCATCATTCTTAAATATTACCAGCTGCAATATAAATTTTTAATCTTATTAATACTTAGAACTTAATACCATTTTTGTACTAAAGGTGAATTATACTCAGTTTTGCTGTGACTATTCTGAGAATTGGTTGCAAGGAATATTTAGATAAGGACTACTGCAACTCGAGATGATCCCATGATAGCTGGCGTAGTATGTGTACCAGTTACTTCTCCCACCAGCACAAATAAAGAAACTTCCAGAACATTCTTAATCTGTAGAAGAGTGTGGAAGCTTCAAGAAAAATCTCAATACAGAAGGTTCTGGAAGCAATGTCATTCGAGAATATTTAAAGGCTGATTTTGGATGGCGCTGATCAGTGTGTGTACATATAGTATTCACTGTACTCACTGTAATCATTGTGGTCATTGTATTCAGTGTATTGAGTAGTAATATTGTGTATGGCTAGTGGTGAATAGTACAGTTGTGTACCAGAGTAATTGTATCAGCCTAGACAGACTGATTTGTGTAATATCGTGAAGTGCTGTTAAAAATAAAGTTCACTGTTACACTAGTGGAGTGTGGTTCAGTGACTTCTTCAAGGAACCCTCTCTCATCGGAGCAAGGCCTGTTAAGCCCAGAGTAGAATACTCTTGCTTGCACCCTAAATATCATTCCTGTTTCCATCCATACATCAATCCCGACATTTCAATGTGAGCGCGAGTGAGTGGGAGGAAAAGGACAAAAGCAAGAGGGTGGTAACAAGACTTACACCAGACAAGTTTCTCTGCTCTGGGTTTCAAACCAAGAATGGAAAAATTGAAAACTTGCACCCATTTAGTTCTACAGTACAGACTGTGCAAGTTACTCAAACATTTAAGACCATTCAGTTTAAATGTTCATTTGATAGTCACATGTATTAAGTGACTTGTAGACTGGGTTTGGATTCGTGAATAGATTTATTGGATACTCACAAGTTGTAACTACAATTAATTATAACACTCTAAAGATTACTGTAACTGTAACACATAAAATAAAGTCTTCAACATCTACTTGCTTAGTAGTTGTTTTTTATTTAAAATGTCTGTTGAATGAATCTTGAAGACTCCCTGGTCTCTCACATTCTCTCTGGATGTCTGAATCTTGGACTGAAGTAACTTCATGTGGACCAATAACAAAGTCGGACAGTTAACTGCCTTCTGTTATTCTCTGATGCCACAAAACACGCAAGAATCTCTGGGCAACACGTAGATGTATACAAGCATATTCGTTGCCGTGGAAACGTATTCCAGCTAGCTGTTGTATAGCAACAGACGTCTCTGTTGTGCTTTTCTGAATGTATGTTTCTGGCATTCAGGTGTCATGCCACAATATTTTACATTCTGACAAGCTAAAAAGTAATGCAAATGCTGAAATGTGGCAGCGTTCATAATTCATAAGTAACAACATAAATCAGTCACAGCTAAAACTGCAAACCTATTACCCAGCATGTTACCTTTCACACCACTCAATTCTGAAATTAAATTTCTCAATCTTGAATACCTCCCCCCGTCTGTGTTTCCTGATTGAATCTTTCCATTATTTGTGCAATTACTGAATAATTACCCTTATTCTAGCCAGTTCTTCTACACTGCAGTGAACTGAGATGGAAATGTGCTTCTTCTGATAGCACAGCAATAGTTTATGATGTGGCTGTAGGAAGAAGAGCCCAGGACGTTTCCTTACCTACATAACTGACTCTACTTACACAGAACTTCATTACTAACCACTGTAAGAAAGTGATACAAAATTATATTAGTTCATAACAGACACCAGAATTGATTAACTGCTGCCTCTGAACACTTGCAGAACAACACATCCCCCATTTTAACACTGTGTACTGGTTCTTCTTGAATGAGAAGGTAATTTTATTCACTCTAAATTTGTGTTTTCCGCATAGTAACATGACCAACAAGCTAATAAAGACAAAGGAGGAAACACAGCAACACTGTGACTGGATCATACATTTTGTCTCAATCACTGTCCCAATGTGATGAATCATGCTGAACCAACAACCATAATGTGATCAGCACAGCAGAGTGTTAAGTTTCTGCTTGCTCAGATCTCATTACTTTCATGTCTGAATTCTCTACTCCTGGAATGAGGTACCTGATTCAACAGTGACTTTCCAAAGTCAAGTGCTTCATAAGAAAAGGAAGATTACAGAAAGTGCTCTTGTAGGTTCACCTGTAAATGGAACAAGTCTCCACAAAGATGCATTCACTGATACTTGTCAAATGGGTCACAGGTAATGGATTCAGCTTGTGACAAAAAGAAACATACAAAAGAAGAATGCACTGTGTGAAGAAAACGTGTCACATATTCATGCATGTTTAGAGATCAGTGGTGGTGATTGCTAAGACACTTGGCACAAGCAACTGGAGATTAGCTGGGACCTGCAATCACTCCCATATGACCAGTCACATTCAACCACATAAAATAATGAATATACAAGAGCTTAGGCACACAGATTCAGTAACATGAATTCACTTTTCCAAGTGCTTGTTGAAAAATATTCTGACATGATGCCTGAAAGCCAGAATAGTCCATTGCTTGACAACAGCTTGCTTGGCATGTTTCTGCAGAAATGGATAGGTTTGTGGAAACCCGACCATTGCTACAAACTTAACACATGCTTCCAAAGCAATGGATAAACACAGTTTAATAGAGGAACTAGTGGGGTTGGTGACTTACTATAACTGCACCATGCAGGAACCTCAGCAATGTTGTTAATTTACATTCTTAATTACAATGTACTACAAGTAAACGAACTGTATTACTGTTAATGCAAGATGATACAAAATTGACCCCAGCACCAGCAGACGCCAAGGACGACATATGGTCTTTCTGAGGGACAAGCAAGCTGCAGGTCACTTGAAACCCCCAGAACGGAGCAGGAAGTATCCCGCTGTGTTTTCTGTGAATATCAATGCTTAACTTCAGAGGTGCGAGTCTTTGAAAATTTGAGACTTGACAGATACAAGTCACAATAATTTTCAGAGAGGCGTACCAAGTGATCGTTAGTGTACCTTCATTTATTTGAGGGCTGTCAGAAGGACCGTCTTGTACTTAGGACCAAATTAACATGGATCTTGTTAGGGATTGGCTGAATGCAAATGAGAGCAACACCCAAATTTTAGGTTCAGCCAATCAGCAAAATTTCAGAGGAGAGGAAACCAGGAGTTACCCGGAACTGTCAGGACTTCTGCCTCTCCAGAGCAGTCAGTCACCAAAAGAGAATAACAGGAGTCAGTCGTCTAAAGTGAGTAACTAGAGTCAGTCATCAAAAGGGACTAACTGGAGTCAGTTGTTTAAAGGGAGTAACAGGAATAACCTCCCGGACGTTAAATCGATGTCGGTCAAGTCAGGTGCACAAATTCAAAGTGCTACAGCCTTGTAATGTGTAATTCTAGTTCACATCTATAATAAATAGCATCAGTGTTGGTGAAGTGTGAGTTTTAAGTGTTCTCTATCTCCTTGTGTGAGCAAGGCCCAGAAGTCGCCCTGAGACAGAATTTCGTCTTACCATCTGAGCAGTCGGAACCCCAAACGCCCGCCTATCCACATCCCTACGTTTGTTTTCCCCGTTCCAAATTCATGGATTTCACCCAAGTCCACTGGCGCCCATACAAATTCAAATTCAGAGTAATCCCACACTCTACCCTGAACCAGACAGCAACAAGGAAGCGGCGGATGAAAGTGGAGACCAACATAAGGGCACTAAGAGGACAGTTATAAGTGCCGACCAACTTGTGGGGCTAGAAGTCTCACTGAGCAGTTAAAGAGTTAAATTATATTTGGTCCACACCAAAGTTAAAACACAGTTTAATAGAGGAACTTGTGAGGTTGGTGACTTACATTTGGTCCACCCCAAGGTTATACAGGGGGGATATGTAATTGATTTGGCATCCATTCTTCACTCATTAGAGAGTTCAGCATTCAGTAGTTGAGTTGAGTTTTCAGCCATGGAGTGTTAACTAGTGGACAAAGGAAGCTGAAGAAGTCACCAATTCATAGGACAGAACCAAGTCAGTCACAGTGGAAGAGAAGACACTTGTAGTCCATGAATGGAGCGAGGCTTAGGCAGTCACCAATTGTGAGCTGTTGTAACTGATTGTAATTAAGAGAAATTGTAACAGAAGGCATCAATAAATCCAATCCAGGACACGTTATTATTAGTCACGGAACTCCAGACATGCAACAATATGCATGATGATGTTGCAGATCCAACACTGCTGATTGTTGAAACATTTCCTTAGTGGTTATGTCAATACACAGAATGTGCGAATATAAAGCATGTCATTTAACTTCCGCCATTACAGTGTAACAATATTGTGGGGTGCTGTAAGTATTCAGTGAATTATTCACTTCAGAACTTTAGAATATGTCATGAAACTTATTTATGTGCTACAGGGCATGCTTGAAAGCAGGAGGGGGCCAGTTCCAGCAGTGTTTTTACAAAATATGGAAGATATGTAACACCTTTTCACAGTTAATCAATAATGAAGTGATGTTTAAGTACATGAAGCCAGGGAAACCCACTTTGCCACTTCCTCTATAGTCATGCAGAAAATTGCCATCATGATATTGCAAGCAGCATGTATCCATCTCAGATGAACACTGGATATCACTCATATAGGAAAAAATTAAAATATCACTGATCAGATTACAAGCAATCTCATGAGGTGAAGTCCCAGCATGCTTATGTGCATAATAATGTGGAAAATTCTGCCTTTTATGTTCAAATTTTTGGATGTGATAAAGTTTACTAACATCATGCCATCATCGCTACTGTTTTTATCTATCACTCATTTTCAACTGTTGGTTCATAAATGTGCTTGCTATGTGCCTTTAGCATTGAAATCTCGATGGATTAGGTACAATGTTGTCATTTACAAATTTAGCTTTCCCTAACTGCTTCACTAAACCACTCATCTGCAAGCTATGGTTCCTGCTCCTTCTCTATGGCAAAATAAACTGTCCTCTCTCCATGATTATGACCATCAGTAGAGCCAACCTCCTGTATCACATACATATTGTGCCACTGTAACCAATGATCCAAAAGCACCTATCCCATACTAACTCATTTTAAACATACTAATTCCTTGTCTAATGAATGCTGCCTAGGCCATTCCAAAGAATGTGTCTAGTTTCTAGGCCTGTGTGAAAGCTTTGTAACACAGAACATTTTATATTACAGGGTAAGGCTGTGATATCTATGCCCAACCTCCAGGTTCGACAGATGACCATTGCTGCCAGTCCACAACTGTTTTATCAGCAAATGCACAGCTACTGTCTAAACAGTGTGTCCAGTTTCTGTTAGGACTGTGCTCATTAAAAATACAAGACACGAATTATTTTCAAAATTTCACTTTTTATTCAAAAAATCTCCTTCTGAATCAATACATAGCCGGAATCAATTGAAAAGTTTTCGAAAACAATCAATGTACTCCTTTTGTGGAATCACATTTAAAACTGCAGTACATTCCCTTTGGATGTTCTGGATGGTGTCATGACGGTCTCCTTTCATCACCAACTTAACTTTTGGGAACAAACCAGAAATCTGCTGGAGCCAAATCTGGCAAATACAAAGGATGATCAAGGACTGATCCCTTTTCTGGCCAAGAAAGTGTGCACGATCTTGATTTGTGGGGTGGGGCATTGTCAAGGAGGAGTGACCAGGAAACTTGCTCTTGATATTCAGATCGAATTCGAAGAATTCTCGCCCACAAGATAATAATCAGAATTAACTGTTTGACCTTCTGGCAGAAATTCCTCATGAATGATTCCTTTGGAATCGAAGAAAACAGTTAGCAGTGTGTTTACTTGACTCTTTTGCATGCACACTTTCTTTGATTTCATCTTCTTTGGGCTCAATCATGCTGCACTCTGCCCCTTCGTGAGAGGCTCATATTGAAAACACCATATCTCGTCACCAGTAACAATCGATTTTGTAAATTCTGTATCATTTTGGGCCAACCATAACATGTCTTTGCAGTGTTCCACTCTGGCATGTTTTTCATCACCTGACAGTGCTTGAGGTATACAAACCATGCACAGACCTTCCATTTGCCCAAATTCTCAGTCAAAATTTGATGCACAGTACTTTTTGGTATTCCCAAAAGCTCCCCAATGAGTCTTGCAGAAACACATCTGCCTGATGCAAGGATTTTGGTCACTTTTTTCACATTTTCTTCAGTGTGACTTGTTCTCGGCTTTGATGCATGTGGAGCGTCTTCAATGTCCTCCATGCTGTCATGAAATACAGCATACTACCAAAAAATGTTCAAGCGACTCAAACAATCACTGCCGTACACACTTTTCATCATTCCGTATGCTTCTCTGGCTGTTTTGCCTAACTCCAAACAAAATTTGATGTTGGCTCTCTGTTCAACCGCCATTTTCCGATGAATGTCAGAACAGTACTGTTACATTCAAGGTCAGAACACATGCTGCAGCGATGCTTGCACTTTGAAATTATAGACAGCCACGGCTGAAACTTCAAGAATCTTAATGCCACAACTCGCCAACAGATGGTATTGCATGGCAAAATTTAAGAAAATGAGTCCTAATGGATCCTGGACACACTGTGTATATCTGCAGGCCATCCCCTCCATCTAAAACTCCAAAATATTTCCTGTTAGGATGGCAAAGAATCTTTTGCAAGGCATCCTGTTATCATACCCATACATTAAGTTAGCACTCGAAGAAACCATATCACTAATACTAAAATCATATTCAATTACACTCTATGTTTACATATAAGAAACTGAACAATCTAAACCTGTATTTAATTTCACTTTACCTGAAACAACAGGAAGGCATATCCTTTTGGGGGGAAATAGGATTTGCTTTCAGCCTTGTGAGGCCAATCCACCACTAAAGGACCAAAGCGCCGAAAACTAGCTGTGATTTCATCTGGAAACAAAACATCAGTAATTAAAATTCTGAAGGCTGATTTTTATCATTCAGAAACACTAAAAGTTTCTATGCATATTACCACATTCTGTACCTACAATGGAAAGGACTTCTGTCTCATTGCAGACTGTAACTACTGTATCCAGCAGGCCCTACAAAACCATTTGGAAATTTAAATTATTTGTATTACATAGAGTGGGGCGCAGAAACTTCCTTTTTTTTTTGAAGGCGAATAAAAGAAAAATTATTGCTGATAGACAAATTTATGTTTAGCTAATGAAAGAACTTACTTTAAAGTTTTAAATCATGTAGTTTTAAACAAAATATCTTGAAGGTGGTGACCACCGTTCTCTATGCACTGATGCAACTGTTTTCTGAAGTTCCCCTCGGCACGTTCCATCATGTGCACCGGAATTTGGGCTACTTCTTGCCGAATAACATTCTTCAGCTGAAGCAGGTTTGTGGGGCCGATGTTTAAAAACCTCTGCCTTGAGGTAGCCCCATAAAAAAATCACAGGGCATTAGATCAGGTGAGTGTGCTGCCCACGTGATGTCACCTCAAAGCAAGATGAGCCGTCTGGGGAACTTTGCCCTCAAAACTGTCATCGAAGCTCGGGCTGTGTGGGCCATGGAACCATCCTGTTGGAACCAGACATTTCCTAGATGCATTTCTTCAAGAGCTGGTTCGAAAAAGATCTCAAAATCGACTGTCGAACTGTCTTCACATTTTCTGATGTCATAACAGTCCATTGTCGTCCTGATGATATTTTCACCACACGCCCGGTTGTCCTAAAGTTCTCTACTCACAAAACAATCGATTTCCGGTCGGGAACCGGATCTCTGGGCTTAATTCCGAAGTGAGTACGGAACACACACTGCACCGCCACGTAGAAATGGTTGTCCAAAAAATAGGCTTCGACAGCAAATGCATGCCACTCATTTGTCCACCTCATGTTTCCTATTGAGGGGTATTAGACAGAAACTTCTGCGACTGCTGCGTTCGCCGAGCCTATCCCCACTTTTCTGCGACCTCCCCTTCCTTCACAATGCGTCTTCACAAAAAGGAAGTTTCTGTGTCCCACCCTGTATTCGGTGATACATTCAAGCCCTCTACAGCTTCTGGTCATCTCAGTCTTGAGCATTGCCTTCAGTACAGTTTCCAGTCATACTGGTACAGTTATTCAGATGTGGTGACCCTTGATGTAACCTCACCATTCAAATAGGTAGGAAAATGATAACTTAGAAAGTGAGAATGATATCAAAATGGTGTCCATCATTTCTGGTTTTTCTCAAACAACATACATTTGTACATGTAAAACTATATGTTGGCTCAAACACATTCATATCAGATAGCTTGTTCCATGCTCAAGGACTTTCTGAGGCAATTCATAATGGTTAGACTTGTTTTCTTGAAATAAGATTAACCATAAACAGCTCTTCTTGTTGAATGATCTTGTGATAAACTTGGTGCAATGTATAAATAATGAATGTGGGATCATGTTCATCTCACACACAGAACTTATCTGATTCCCCCAAAATAACTCTTCATTGTGTTCAAAGTCTGGTCTTCCAAGACATGTTCATATCTACTGGCTGTGAGACATGGGTGTTAAAGAGGACAAAAATAATTTAAGAAGACAGAAAAATTATTAAGAAAATATATGGGCCAACAAAACAAGAAGGGCAGTGGAGAATTAGAAACAATGAAGAAATAAATGAGATACTGAAGAAAGAAAATATACTTAGATTTATAAAGGCAAGAAGAATCAACTGGCTGGGACATGTAGAAAGAATGGATACTAACAGAATGCCATGGGAAATCTTGCATGAGAAGATCTGCACTAAAAGAGCAAGAGGTAGACCAAAACTGAGGTGGTTTTATGATGTCAGAGGAGACCACAGGATATTGAAAGTTAAAGTTTGGAAATCCACTGCAAGGGACTAAGATACTTGGAGGCTGTTGGTGGAGGAGGCCAAGACCCACAAAGAGCTGTATAGGCAGTTGTTGTTGAATGCACGATGCGCCAATCACTGATGCAGATTCTCATAAACCACAAATCATGATGGATTACAAACAGACCAAAAGTGCTGTTGACACAGTTAAACGAATGTGCACTGCACATTCTACAACTCTCATCACACAATGGTGGCCAATGGCAATGTTCTTTTAACTAATGAACATGGCAGGAAACAATTCACAAGATCTTCACTATTTCAATGCAGAGACTGCAAGATTCCAAAAAGCCAGGAGGAATATTTCTGAAGACTCCGTCCTAGTTAATGATGAAGCCATATCTTGTTCAAAGAAGTAAATAAGGTTGCGTCCAGTGGATGCATTGGAATTCCTTTCAAAATATCAGGAATCCATGGAAAATGAAGGTATGTCTGAATAAGTGGTGAGCAAAGACCGTGAAAGGTGTGTTTCGTGCATAAGGGCAAAGAATATGAACACAAACAAAATGCATCTGATGTGACAAATCTGGATGCAAAAGATATGTAAAGATAACATACAACTGTGATGTATGTGATAAAGATGGTTTTGATTCCAACAACTAATTCTTAACTGTTCAGTGAACTAGGAGCCAGGGCAACAAAGTCAGTAGAGCAACTGGTTACACCCAGAATGACCGAGAGTCGGAGTTTGAGTCCTGGTACAGTCAAGAATTTTTTCTACATCATCCAGACAAGCTCTGGGGGCAACAGAGCCTCCTATCCAATGGGTATCTGGGGGTATGAAGCTGACCACTCATCTCCAACTAGTGCCAAGGTTAACAAAACATGGATCCAAACATCCATTCCACCATTCATCTTCATGGTATAGTACTTAATTAGTTAAGCACAGGGACAGCTATTACCAGTGAACTAATGAAGAATTCTGTTCATAATTCTTAATTTCATTTCAACCATATTGCTACTTAATCATAATATGAAGGGTATTCCATATATAACGCCTCTATTTTTTTGTGTTAATATGTAACGTCTGAGCTGGATGTTGGTGTTGTAGTAAAGGTTCAACCTTCCCGCCAATGTACTGTTAGTTTGGTTGTCATGCGACAGATAGCGACAGCAGAGCAGTCTACCAAAATGGCGT